TGTTTTACCGTCCCCACAACTACTACCACCACCACCAACAACAACAGACTTCCATTTTTCTTGGCTTGCACAACACATACTCGTAAACCACTAACCATCATTGAAAACTCGTTATCTGCCTCGTCGAAAACTGGCGGGCAGACGAAACTTATGCAGAAGCGCGTGCAGTGCTTCTTAGAAAAGATTCTTATATGCTTCCTATCGTTTCGTATGTCTTTAGTCCAAAGCTATTGTGACGAAGGACAAAAGAACTATCAATGTGTCAACAGCCAGCTAAATAGATTTGGTGTCTCAATAAAAACACTGTGGAGAAGGCAACGGAACCCATTCCACTACCTATCCCAAGAATAATCATGGTGATAAACAACATTACTAGAATAACTGAATGGTTGAACGAGAGCCTTAGCAAAAAGAGAAAATCTGCTCAGGACCACAAGAAATAGGAAGTTTTGGGAAGCTATGATCATTCATGCCACGAAGGGACGCGGCTACTCCCTTTGATAGTAGAATGTTAATCTGAAAGTTCAATAAAAAGGTTGATTTATTTTTACAACATTCATAAAATGGAAGACCCTAAAAAGAATGATACTGCTAATCACCTTCAACTCTTTAAGGGTTCCTCCCGTAATGACAGAAACGTAACGAGATATTTTTATATATGCTTTTTTTGCTAGTTCTCTTCTTAACTAAGACCTTTAATAAATAACATATTGCTTCCTGGTAAATAAATGCAAAAAGAATCGGTTTACCGATTAATTAGGAAAAAAATCACAATCTTGAACCGAAATTAAATTTAAAAAAAAGAATAACAAGACAATAATATACATTTATGCCTGAAGTTCTGCGACGAGATAGATAGATAGATAGATAGATAGATAGATAGATAGATAGATAGATAGATAGATAGGAACAGGACGAGATAGATAGATAGATAGATAGATAGATAGATAGATAGATAGATAGATAGATAGATAGGAACAGGACGAGATAGATAGATAGATAGATAGATAGATAGATAGATAGATAGATAGATAGATAGGAACAGGACGAGATAGATAGATAGATAGATAGATAGATAGATAGATAGATAGATAGGAACAGGACGAGATAGATAGATAGATAGATAGATAGATAGATAGATAGATAGATAGGAACAGGACTAGATAGATAGATAGATAGATAGATAGTGAAGAGTATTGGATAGAGAGATTCTAGTTCTTGTTCTGAACATTTTGGGTCCCGTACTTTTCGTTTTAAATTGATAGTTGTCCACTTCTGAAGTTAGTTTCGACTAAAATGATGATGATGATGATGATGATGATGATGATGATGATGATCTTCTTACAGTAGGAATTAATCTCATGGCTTCTGATCTTATTTGACTGAAGTTGTAAACGTATGTTTGTCCCTGTGAATACATTAAGTATCCTGTACAGTCTAACAGGTTTGCTCGTCAGTTGCCTGATCTTAAACATTTTGGGCATTTCCACTCGGGGTTGACGGATTGTAAATCTCTGTTAAGGGACGGGAGTATTTGTGGAGTATCATGTCCAGTTGTCTAGAAAGGATCTTTTAAAAGTCTGAAAGATGAATCAGCCAATGCAACTTGGGAGATATCTAGATATTTGGGGAAAGCGTAAATTTGGGACCATCCAGGCAGACTGGGTGTGTTGAAGTTATTTCCAACGGGACCTCATCTGCAAGGCTCTGCACTGCTTTGATAAAAACCAGCCAACACAACGCGCACATTTGAATGTGATTCATGTACCGAGAATACCCTTATCAGACTAGTTTCCACTAATAATAGTAATAAATCTACACTAGAGTCACAGATAACCAACAGAGATGTATTTTTGGCAACTAACTACGCGCCGTTTTTTTTTTAATTTTGGAATCTATTTTTCGTTTCGAGAATTGTATTTTTGAATCATTTTGTAATCTATTTTGTTTTTTGGGGTTTTTTTCGAATTAATTTAAGTTAATTTCTGTTTATTTTCAGAGCATGGAATGTCAACTTAAGAAAAATGAGCATTTTCCTTCTTTTTGCTTTTAATCAAGGTTCTAAGGCCGCAAAAGCTGCTCGCGACATTTGTGCTGTGTATGGAGAGGATGTCATAGCTGAAAGAAATGCTCGTGATTGGTATGTCAAATTCAAAAATGGAAATTTTGACCTCAAAGACACACCTCGCTCTGGCTGTCCAGTTGAGTTCGATGAAGAGCGATTAAACCAACTTTTACACGAAAATACTCGTCAAACGACAAGGGAAATAGCAGAGAAAATGCAATGCTCCCACGCTGGTATAGGGAAGCATTTTGACTCGATGGTAAAAGTTCATAAGTGTGGAACATGTGTTCCGAATGCTTTAAGTGATAACAACCAAAATCAACGAGCCACAATCTCCGCTTGTTTGCTTGCTCTTTACCGCTCAACTCATGGACACAAGCAAAGATTTCTTTACTAAATCGTTACTGGCGATGAAAAATGGTGCCTGCACATCAATATGAAGCAGCGCAAGGAATAGCTTAGCCCTGATAAACAAGCGACACCACGCGTGAAACAAGATCTTCATCCACGTAAAACAATGTTGTGCGTATAGTGAGACTGGAAAGAGATTATCCATTACGAATTGCTTGAACGGAACCAAACGGTCAACGCGGAACTCTATGTTCAGCAGATGGAACAACGCAACACGGCTATTCAAGAGAAAAGACCTAATCAGCAGCATGGAGTCCTTTTGCTGCACGACAACGCCCATCCTCATATCGCCAATATGACCAAGGTTGGGAAGGACTGCCACACCCGCCGTACTTTCCTGATTTGGCACCAACGGATTTTCACCTATTTCGATCTCTTTCAAATGCTATGCGCGGAGTTTCGTTCAATATTGAAGCAGAATTGAGAGCTTGGTTAGATGAAATTTTCGAGTCGAAACAGAGTGATTTCTACCAACGAATTATTGAAAATCTTGATGAACGTTGGGAAGAAAGTGTAAACAGCAATGGAGAATACATTATTGAGAAAATTAGTTGTTATTTTTTATTAAACTTTTAAAAAAAAATAAATTTAAAAATCGGCAGGAACTTAGTTGCCAACCTAGTACATCGAAATAAGTTTTGAAGAATGAGGTTTGTAAAAACGAAAATACTATTTTATAATGTTGGGCACTGAGTACTGAGTTGAACTCGCACATAAAGTTGCGAGGGGAAGGGAAATAACGGGGCTAATTTCTCTAGCCATTGTTTGATCAAAGGAGTACACGGTCCACTTCACAGCCTTTGAAGCATAAATTAATTATACCTACCACAAGATGAGTATCCCTACCGGCAGTACCATTCTCATTTATCCCTGATGTCTGAGATGTTCCCCAAAGGAGAAATACAGAGGAAAAGTAATTATTTTGGGCCTCTGATTCCATGTACGTGTGGGTCTCCCACTTTAAATTAGGCCTTGTACCACATTCCATCCCATTGAGAAGAAAGGGTGTCAGAATCCAGCACGCATAGTGTCGCGATACTCACATGTGGTTAGGTGCTATTGAAGTTCCCCTAGCGGCTGTGTTGCAGGCAACTGTCACACTATCCTAAATACTGACCTCACCTAAATTCATTGGTAATAACTTTAAGTCAATCGACCTCTCATGACTACCACACCTAATATCACATTCCATAATACATGTTCTCATTATGTTAACCTGACTCTTTTGAAAGAAATAGCAAATCAGTATAATATCAATATTTTTTAAATGATTTTTTCCACCAGATCCCTTCACGAAAGCCGATCTAGTTTCAAACGAGCGGAGTTGATTTCTGGGCATTTACTGTTCACCTTATAATTTCTGTAAATATTCGCTAATCACCCGCATCATGTGCCGTCGAGAATGCTCTTGATCTTTAAGCAAATTCAAGAGGACATTTCAAACGCGTTCTTTTATGATGGCTGCCATTATTCAGTGTAATTCACTCGTTCTGGGAATGACTACAAACTACATCCAGAGCAAGGCCTCTGATTCTAAGATTTTGAGCAACAAGGCCCCTGATCCGAAGATTTTGAGCTGCAATGCCTCTGATTTGAAGTTTTTGTGAAGCAAGACCTCTGATCCGAAGGTTTTGAGGAGCAAGGCCTCTGATTCGAAGGTTTTGAGGAGCGAGGCCTCTGATCCAAATGTTTTAAGGGGCGTGGAAATACCTCTTAATTGCTGTTGTTTCCAGGTCCATCCTAACCCGGGATGGTAGCACCTGTTAGGATCCCAGCTATAGGCAAATAATTAATTTCAAAATTGGGACCAAAACCCTATGAAAGTATAAAAATATATTTTTATAGTAAAAATACCAGCAACACATTTTTGAAGAAAAATATTACCAGCAATACATTTGACTCTCGATAAAAACTCTGCAAAAATACGTCAATAAAGCCTGATGTACAAACTGATTTCTTACAAAGAATTCATATTCCCCAAAAATTCATATTCTATTCATATGAACCTATCCTAAAAAATTTGTCGGCATTAAATAACCTATTGAGGTTAATATGCCGTAAAAAAATTAACCAAACCAGTTTAATTCTCGATCAGCTGAATTTCCTAGACAATACTACATCCAACTTTTCATTAAAAAAAACATCTTTTTTTTACTAAGAGTGCAGATCCAAATGCGGCACACAAGAGTGTTTCTTCAACAATTAATCAGCTATTTACTTTCACAAAAAAGAAGGCAAATATTTATGCTTGACTACGTCTATTTTTCTACCGTAAACATGTGTTCATAGGTATTTTCCTTAATGTTTTTAACAATATATTTTATAAATATAGATACCTATGTTTTGATGATAAGTTAAGGCGTAAAACTGCCTGTCGCCATGCAGTTAGTGCTGATTCCTGTGCCCATACTGATTATATCTCCAAACGCCCTCTCCTTGATATTGTGTACGCTTCCTCCATAAATAGAGCAAATTTCAAACAATGTAATTATATTTATATTGACGTTTATATTCTCTCTTACAAATGTTTTCAACTTTCTCTGTCCCTTGTCTTTTCTTTCTCCTTCTCTTTCTCTATCAATCACTCTCTCTCTCTCTCTCTCCCTCTGTCTCTCTGTCTATCTATCTATCTATTTATCTATCTATTTATTTATCTCTAACTCTCTCTCTCTCTCTCTCTCTCTCATTTATAATGGTAATAAAATACCCCATCTTCCGTTTTTCCATACCTTTTCTTTACTTGTTTAGCTATTAACATTTTTCTGTTATGCCCCACCGCTTCAGTCTGCTGTCAGAGAATCTCGTCGGGCCAGTAAAAGTCGATTGATTCTTCTTAATGAGAGGTCGTCCCAAGCTAACCAGTTGAGCAAACAAGTTGGCGAACACTAACAACCTTTTATAACCAAATTATCTGGTAATTTCATAAAAGGGCTTCCGAACCGATGTCGATTTTATAATCTTTACGGGAATTAGGCCTTAATTCCTTGATTATCACTTACAAAAACAAATGACTAAAAATAATGACTGCGCGGAGTAAAACAAAGCGGTCGGCCAACAAAGCGAACAGTGGTCGAAGGTATTGATAAAGAACAGTAAAACGTGGCCATGTAAATTCTGAAAGAAAAGAGTATGTGGGAAGATCATCTCAGAGAAGAAAGGAAGCGTTTTTACAACAGAACACGACACGTCTGTCTATCCATCTATCTAATTAGCTACAGGCCAATACGGAAATAGATGCAAATTCTAATTTCTGTTTGAATTTCAGTTGATGAACAGTTATAATTATTTATGTTATTTGCTTTAAAGTCTAATATCCTCATTTTGGTTGTTGTTGTCATGACGTTTTCGTAAGTTGTTTCCATCGGTCCTCTTCAGTTGTGTATCGATTAAGGAATTTCAAATTTATTTAATCTGCGAGAGTAGATTGTTCTCGTGTCTTTCATCATGGATCGGGATATTTCGTCTTGTTCTTATTTAGCAATTCCCAGTCACTGCTTGCTCGGTTTCCACTGAGTTTAAGGGACTGAAATAGCAGTGGATTACAGCATTGGTTTATGAATTTGCTGATTTAGTAAGTGTGAGTTCAATCTCTGGGCCGAGGCCCAGAGATTGAACTCACACTTACTACATCAGCAAATTCGTGAAGACTCAGTTGAAATAAAATTCGGAATAATTGAGCAGCACTAAACAAGGACGCCATACGGCCATATCACGTTGAAACACCGGTCTCCCTATGATCACCTAATTTAAGCATTTACGCACGGATAACCGGTTAACAGCACATTGTAAGTTCGATCCTCCATGGATAAGTCATATTCATGGCCTTGTGCAAAGCTAAATTGGAGACACGGTGGAGTAATAGATAGAAGCTCGGATTAAAGAATCGGAGAGCCGAGTTCGAATTCCAGTCGAGTTCATTGCATTATAGCCTTGGGAAAGGTATGAATCCATTTCTTTCCCTCAGCTATGGGTAAATAGGACGACACCTTGGGCCCTATGGCATTGGTTGGCAACCAGCCTAGGAGAAAAAAAGTCTGGATTCAAACCATCTCGTAGACCCTGTCTATTTAAGCAAAGGCTAGAAGGATGTGACTTCAAAATAAATCCACTTCTCATGTCGTCTAGAAAAAAAATAACTGGCCCTCATACTTCGAGTCGCGACGGAACATATTCTTGGCAAAGGTATGAATCCACCTCTTTTCTCGATTGATAAACTTGTATCACTAAAACATTATTACCTTCAAAAAAATTCTTACAATCTAAAAAATATTTTCTGGCTTTAAATAACAAATTAGCTTCCATCTATCGTTAAATCCATTGTTGCTCGTTGGCCCCGCATTATTGAAGGAAAGACACCACCAATGTTACTAATGATAACTTCATCTGTGTGCTCTAGTGAAGGCATGGTGTTGTTTCTATCATTAGCTCATCAATCTTTTCTCCATATATTTTTGTTCTCTCTCTATTTTCTTTTTACTAAAGTTCACGCAATGCAAGGTGTACGAGATTCAGGATAAAAGGTTACTGAATAAGGTGTGTGATATGAACCAAAAAGTAGGAAGTGGTGACTACGAGGATATAGCTGCTAGATAACAATTAACGCTAGACCTGAAGAGGTTAATATTTTAATGTTCTGAGAAGGAACACATGCAGGAGTCTGTTTTCCAACAGATCGGATATCTGTATAACATTTCCTATCGTCTTTTATAACGTTTTCCTTAACGTGTTGCATTTGCTTCATTTTGACGTCTTCAATTCGTAGTTTATACCCGGGATTGTCCCATATGCTGACCACAATGTTGTCTTCTTGGTGGATATCTTATTTCTAAAACGACGTGTAAAATCCTATGATTTTAGAAATATCTTTTTGATTTGTTTCTTTTTAATACGAGTGTGCTGATATTTGCTCATTAAAATATTGATTTGGGGATATGGAACGGGCCGGTAAATTTTCAGCACGTCTCCGCATTCAAACTTTTCTCAGTATTTGTGAACACAGGATTATTTTAAAGAGCAGGCTTGTTGAATGAAACACTCACCAGAAATAGGTTGGGGAAGTAGCCAGCTGAAATATCTTAAAATAGCTAAGTAGGTCCGAGTAAGCCATCAAACTTTGTTGATCACTAATTAAATATATACTCCCAAGAGGCAGTGACCAAATGAATTAACTCCATTCTCATTTATCAAGAAACCTAAAAGTCTTTACATAGATTACGTATTCATTTCATCAATTATACCAGTTATAAAACTACTGGGGAAATAATTACCATCTATCACGACTAATTCCCAACAAGAAACTGCATCTTCCGAATCGCACAGATGCGAAAGGAAGGACTTATGAAGGATTAAAATGTCCCCAAGTATTAACTGCAAACGAATATCATACTTCTTCTATGTACCGTGTCCATTCAAGACGTTGGTGATCATGGCTCTCCACAATTTCCTGTCCTTTGTAGCTCTTAGTAAATTTTGTCTTTTTGTAATCTCTACTAAACCCAATTCTGCCATCTAATTACTCAAACACTCCGGGTATGTTTTTTATCTAATTTACCCTATACAGGACAATAAAACCACTAAGTCACAAATGGTTACTGGGCGGGAAAGAATACAGAACAGAAACATTACTAAGGAGTGAGAACAATAGAGGTTTAATCAGGAAGACAATAGACAACGATTGACATTGCATTTAAATTTTTGAAGATCTGGAAAGCATGGAGCCGGAAGAGAGATGTGCGAGAAAAGAAACTCTTAGCATAGAAGTTACGGTTACATCTAGCCAATTCAACTGTAAAGTGATGAGACCTAATTGCTAATCTAGTACTGCACTTAAATTCATAAAGTTTAGGTACCATTGCGAAGAACTCATTTCATGCGTTGTTTTCCTGTCCTTCGCGCCTTCAATCTGTCCTGTGAGCATCAAATTTTCCAAGCCCACTTTTCTCATTATGTGTCTATGAAATTTCAACTGTCTCTTTCTGATGTTAAATATAAGTGCCCTTTTTGTTTCCACTTTCTCTAAAACTTCAACATGTTCGGTCTATGATATTCTCAAAATGCTTCTGTAGAACAATATTTCTGTTGCTTCAAGTCTCTTCTTCATCTGAGGAGAGACTGTCCATTCACTGCTATATAGGAGGACGGATATTACATAGCAGTCCAGTACTCTTTTCTTTGTTTCTAACGAATTCTTTTCTATTTCTTAATATTTGGCTTCATTTTTGGGAGGCATTGTTCGCCTTCAATTTCACTATATCATTTTCTTGGTTATAAATGAAATTTTTCTGTTTCTTAATGGAATGTATATTTTTACCGTTACTTCTGTTTATATTATAGTGTTCGGAAAATAATTATGTATTTCCCCACTATTAATTATCAGAGAACGAACCAAGGCAAGTCCAAGGTTGAATAGTAGGTAAATGCGTCTAGAATAAGTTTATCACCTCTTTTATTCGACTATATGTCGTTAAAAATACATGTCAGAGATTAATTTCTTGGTGGATTTCAACATTGAAAAGGAACATATTCGCCATTGATTTCTATCTGGATTCCAAAAGCATCATCGTCGTTGGCAGAAATCGTTTCCGAGTATTGGGGTGCACATCGATATTTCCTTCTATGTGAAATGAGTCCTATGTTGGATCTGAAGAGACGCCCACAGCCACTGTATTGTAGGATAGAAAGGTTCAGAGGATTGGGAGCTCTGGCTTTTCTTTGGGCTCTCTGGTGTTTTCGAAGCATGCTGTTTTTCGTGGGCTGCTCTTCTACAATTGTTTTTTTTTCTGCAACTTCCGTCCCTCAGTAGACCGGATCGATTCGTCCTCAACAATGTGTTTTTGAGTTGATCTTTGAATCGACGACGTGGGGCTCCACGTGGACCCTTGCCAGATGCGAGCTACAAGAAGACGATTTATTCGGGTAAGCGGGTGTCTGGAAAAATATCCAACCCTTCAAAGTCGGTGGTGAGTCATGATGGTTTCTAGGGTATCCATCTTTTTCACAGAAGAAAAGTTTGTTATTCGCTATCCGGTCCTGTCACGTGTTCTGCATGATTTGACGACGTTTCATTTGATGGAATCTTTCATGTTTGTGGACGTCTCTTCGGTAGAGTACCTAGGTCTCACAGGCGTACAGAAGAGTCAAGATTCCAAAAGTGCAATACTGCTACAAAGGCATTTGAAAATATTTATGTAGTGTATACAGATGCAACGAATGCTCTTACATGTCGGTTGTCATTTAAAAGGATTAAAATCGCGATTGAAATATACCAAGCCTCAGTAAGTTACGAATTGTGTAACTCTATAAAATCCTACTGTAAAAAGAATCAAGAATATTACAAAAATCACTTCTTTCTTCGCAATATACATTAGTTGCCAAAAAGATTTCGATTGCATTAAAATCTGTTTTCGACGGAGCAGTGCTGACTATAAATTTTATTAAGTCGTTTTTTTTTATTTTTGCCTTATGTAAAGATATGGCAAGTTTTAACAACTCGTTACATCTACATACAAAAGTTAGATGGTTATCGCGAGGTAATATTTCGTAAGAACGGCTTTGAAATGCGCAAAGAACTCTTGGCTTTTTTTAATCGATCATAAATTTCGATTATCTGACAGATTAAAAAATACGGCATGGCTCTCAAGAATTACATGCTTGGCCGACATATTTTCAAGATTGAATGAGTAATGTTTATCTATGCAAGGGAAAAAAGTGAATATTTTTTAATCCAGATATAAAATGGCATCGCTATCAGGTCAATCGTAACACTAGATTTTAGCCAAAGACAAAATATTTCTAACATCCGATTTTCCGATTCTAAGTAACTTCCTTCCAAAATCTGAACGGGATTTACGGGTTGAAATCAGCAATAAATACAAAAGTAATCTCTGCCACTTATTAAAATCTTGTATTTTTAAAATTTTAAAAACAAATATAATTATTGGCTACTAAATCCATTTAAATTTTTTAAAAAGCTAACAAGATTTCTGGTAATGGATTATGAAAATTGAAATTAGTCTTGCTACTCATTTATATGTGCAAATAACCTTGGAAATAGTATGAAGCCATCTATTTCCACACTCTAGCTATGGATTAAATAGTGGGACTTGTATATTGAAAAAACATTGTTATCTCTAAAGATGTTAATGTAATATTCACTCGCAAAAAAGAATTACTTTTACAATCCAAAATATGTTTCGGTTTTAATTAACCCAAAATGGGTTGATAAACCGTAAAAAACAAATCAATCAATCAATCGATCGTTCAAGAGCTGCAGTTTTCTATTATAATATATTTGACGAATATCGGGATTTATCAAAATAAAGTATTCGACTTCTATTACGTTTCCAACAACATATTCTATATTAAATCAGTCTCTTAACATAATAGGCTAACACAAAAACTAAATATGGCACAAGACTGAATGCTAACCGGATATGCAAATTCAATTATCCGATATCGAACCAAATTTTCAGAGGATAGTACAACATTCTTCGCATTAATATGCAAAGTTTTTCGCATTAATCATTTAATAATCTTTTACGACAGTTATAAGAATTAAATACAAAGTTGTTTTTCTTTGTTGGTCTTAATGTTTAATTTACGTTTGTTTTTATAGGAATAACTTCTCTCACTAAAACAATATTTGTTTTATTTTATGTCTTAACAAGATTATGGTAATGACGGTTGTCCTTAAAATATAGCTAGGGGTTGGACGATTTTTTGAAAATCATATAAGTGTTCTTGTGATTTCACTACTTAGTCAAGATGATAATTTTTTAGAACCACCTTCTCTCTCTCTCTCTCTCTCCTCTTAATGTCCTCTTTTTTCACACTCTCGCTCAAAATATCTCTTTTTTCTCTTTTCCGGCATATTTCTTTCTCTCTGTCTCTGTCTCTGTCTCCGTCTCTCTTTCTCTCTCTCTTAAATTTGCCTTTTTTCTTCTCTTCAATATTCTAGCTTTCTTTCTTTCCTTAAATCTTCTTCCTCTCTCTCTCTCTCTCTCTCTCTCTCTCTCTCTCTCTCTCTGTCGTATTTATCAATCCCTCTTTCTTTTTTCCTTTAACTTCATCGCTTCAATGTTTTCCTTTTTTTTCCTTTTCTTAACTCCACTTGCTTTTTGCTTCGTTCTCTCTTCTTTTCGTAGATTTTTTCAATCCTTTCATATCTTTTATAATATCAGCTTATTTTCAAATTTATGAAACCCTCTTTGGGATTGTTTTGAATTTTCCCCTTATGTATAGAAATATACGATTGTATCAGAGCCTCAACTAATCTGTATGTATCGGTGTGTATATCACTGCATCTTCTAATAAACGCGTTCATCTAATGTCTATATGAGAGCGAGCCTCTACAAGTGAATGATTCTATTTTATTTTTACAAAGACACCAGAGAATCTGATTTTAATCTAACAGCAGAAATATTGGAGTATTCTAATTTCATAATACAATCAGCGCACGCGTAAACCCTAGCGAAAGCTATAATCAAATTTGAGTCATTTTACTATTTTTATTGTTATTTTTATTAAAAGTAATAAAATAAAATCCCAAAAATTCTAAGTAAAAATAAACATAGAAGCAAAAGCAACGATGCTTCATTTACAGAGGAACTTTTAGCAATTTAGAGATCGAATTCTCAGATTGTGGTTTATGAATAAAATAAAATTTCGTACTGTTGAATTTAAAAGTAAATTCCTTCAAATTATATGGGTAATGATAATGTTAATATTAGCCGTTTCCTTATAAAGAAACATTTGGCGTTCAATGACTGAGCAGCCAGGACTCTGAAATTTATAAAATCCTTTTCTTGAAATAATTTTTCAGGAAAATAATTTTCTCATCTTCAGTAACTACTATCAGTCTTTCCAGTATTAATGGTGTCTTGCTTCCTAATCTTTTGTTTGAAGTAGCGTGGGATGTCAACATCTTGATGATGTTATTATTTTCTCTTCATTTTTTGCCTTCAATATATGATGTGAGTGTCTATTTTTAAAGCCCTCGTTCCTCATTATGTGCCCCAGAAACTTCAACTATCTCTTTCTGATTCTAAGTGTCCTTTTTGTTTCCATTTTCTTTAAAAATTTTATCGTTACCCATATATTCGGCCCATGGTATTCTCAACATCCTTCTGTAGAACCATATTTCTGCCTTTTCAAATCTCTTCTTCATCTGCGAGAAGATTGTCCAGTATTCACTGTCATATAGGAGGACTGGTGCTACACAATAGTTCAGCAGTCTTTTCTGTGTTTCTAATGAAATTTTATTAATACTTTACTTAGCTTTTGGAAGGCATATTTTGCTATCTCAATGAGCTTTCGTATATCAGTGTTGCCCATTTTGTTGTCTGTTAAAACATCTTCCATTATACTTGCTTGGTTTTGGTATCTTTAATTTTTAATTTGTATATTGGGCTGTTCCTTTTGGTGACAAAACAATAATGTTACATATACATAAACTTGGGAAAAGTTGTTTTAAAATTTTAAAACCCGCTTGCCTGTGTAATATTTGGCTATTCTTTTATATTCTAATGTTATTTTATGTACATTTTTTTTTTTAGAAAGATATTGCCGATCGTATATAAGAAAGGAAGAGAGCATAAGCTAGCCTAATGTTTTATATCTGAAGAAATATGAAAATGGTCGAGGCTTTTAATAAATTCGTAAAGATTTGTCGAATTGAAGAAAAAAATGTACTTTAGGGTTTGGATCAATAACGGATAATTTAGTGATTTTTTTCCTGTCCTGAAAAATTGCGTAAAAACCCGATAAAGTTTATGACATTTTCAATTCTTTATCTCTGGATTTGTACAAATGTCATACTAAAAATGATATGCAGATCGATAAACCATAGAGTTTCTGTAAAATATAAAATTCTACTCATTTTCTTTCCCCGCGTACATTAAAAAAGCAAAAAAGTAAAAAAAAAAAAAAAAAAATACGGGAAGCAATCTGAATCAATAACCATGAGTTACTTCTGCTATATTCGCTTCAAATGTTAATTGTTTTTAAATGTAATTAGTTAAATCTTGACTCTTATCGTATTTTGTTTAAATGAAAATTAATTTTTACATTTAACTTAGCTTTCATAGTTATTATATTCTCAGTTTTACTGAATTAAACATTTCATATCAACACTTATATTAACTCATCAATTTTCATCTGATCTGGCTAGATGTAGCCGTAAGTTCTATGTTAACAGTTTCTTGTCTTGCACTTCTCGATTTTGGAACTCTCTTCCGGCTCTATGTTTTCCAGCCAACTTTAATCTGCAAAAATTTAAATGCAATGTCAATCGCTATATAATCTCTTCCTGATTACTCTTTTCTCTTCCAGCTCATTATTAATGTTTCTGTTCCTAATTTTTCCACACCTTGTAACTCCTTGTGTGTTAGTGGCTTTACTCCCTTGCACGGGGTGATACCGTTAAAAAAAAACACAAAACGTGGCTCAGTCTGAGTGTAAAAATACATAGAAAAAACCAACGATATATATACAAATTTCGATCAGTGAAAACGGCAGAACATTTTCCGTACGCTTAAACAGTGAATCGCAGTGGAAACTATACATCAAAATGATTAACATAACTAAAATGGCAGTAAGATTCTGTATAGTTTCAGTATGTTGACTATTTACTACGTTGTATAGCAGTGATTATTTTCAAGTAATATCTTCATTAGATCGCTACTAATTTTACTTGGTACACACGAAATATTTCTAAACACATTCTATCCATTGTAGTATCTTCTCCTCAAACTGTAAAAAGGTTTCTTGTGTCTAAGATGTATTATTTATCGTTCATAAAATATAAAAATCTTATGCCGAAAATGTTGCTTTTCTTCCGACATCATTGTTAAAATAAAAAAAAAACATATACAAGTTTGATATTGTAAAAATGCATGCTAATATTAAAGATGGCACAATATTATCAAAAGTCATCCTTTAGATGAATTCAATTAAAGCTAAACTCTTCTAATGCCACAAATAATAAAACAGAAGGAATTTTTCCCGAAACAATTATTTATTATTTTATGTAGACTTTTACTCTGCATTAATACAAACGGATGTATTTCTATTATTCTTTGAATATATTGTTTATTTGCATAAATGTTCTATGATTTGGCTATTATTCGATACTAGAATAATACATCTATTTCCTCTTATTTAAAATAATTATTCTTCCATGTGCCGTGTCCGTTAAGGATGTGGGTAACCAAGGTTCTCCACAACTTCCTAACCTTTGTAGGTTTAAGCAATGTTTGTCCCCTTAATATTCTTCCCAGTCAATGTTCTGATATCCATTTACACAAGCTAGTTATATATGTTACTCACTGTTTCCCCTGTACCTTTTGCCTTAAGTATGTCCTGTGAGTGTTAGATTTTCCAAGCCAACATTCCTCATTGTCTGTCTCACGAATATCTGTTGTCTATTTCTGATACTAAGTGTCCTTTTCACTTACATTTTCTTTAAAGCTTCCTCGTTGCTTACATGTTATTTTCAAAATTCTTCCATAGGATCAGGTCTCCTCTAAATCATTGAGGAAATTATTCAGCATTAAGTGCCATATAGGGCTATTGATGTTACATAACGGTTGACTACTCTTATCTTTGTTTCAAATGAAATATTGCTGTTTCTTAATATTTTGTTTAGCTTTTGGAAGGCATATTTCGATATTTTTTTTATTGCGCTTTCTGATTTCGGTGCCATTTGTTTTATTCTGACGTCACCATTTTTTAGCTCGAATTTTAGGCCTTCTCTTTTGTTAATAACCATATATTATGCCTTCTTAAAATTGGTGCATAGTAAGTTCTTCGAATTTTCCTTTGTTACCTTGTTTAGAAGGTGATTTTTTTTCTTTGCGTCAACCATCAATACTCTGTTATCTGTATATCTTCTCTTGTTAAGGTTGTACCCGCCAATAATAAATGCAGATAGTATTTCTCTAGTTCTATTCTAAATATTTGTATTGAAACCTCAGTATTATTGAATAGCGGTCTCTTACTCTGTCATCTGTATATCCAAACTCGTAATTTCAAAATGATGCATGGGAGAATGATCATTACAATGAGTTTTGCATAATCATATTAGATTGTTATACGCAAACATAACCAAATTTGTAGCAACTTTTAAAAAAAATGTGGAATCTTCGTCATACACTCGTTGTTTGTTTTACCTTAATTTTGCAATTATTTTCACTTTTTTTTTTTTTTTTTTTTGACATTTTTCATATTCCCAACTTTGTAAGCTCTGGGGAGTTTTCAGAGCAACATGGAGAAATCCATTTTGATCAATATAATTATGTGAGTATTAAAACTATTAGGTATTATAGATGAATTATGTAGTTCAGCGATCCTGGGAACGGTCGTCATTATGGCTACATTATGAGTCGGTCGAGTTTATAAAAATCAATGGTACATCATATTCTGTTTAGCTTTCCTCGCATTTGCTTGCAAGTTTGTTTTTTGTTTTTTTAGCTTCGATTGTTTTAAACCGTCAACAGATTCAGAAAGAGAATAATACACAGCACAGAATAGAATGACAACTTGAGAATCGTATTTTATATGTCTTCATATTTGTTCATTTTCTGAAACTATAGAAAAATGTCTAAACTCTGGTTACCAAGTAATATTCAGAAAAATTATTTACACTATTTGCATTATTTAGACTGTTATCTTCATCTTCATTGGCATATTCACAGCGTTTCGGCCGTTGTACCTTCTGGCTTTCTAAGGTAATTGAAATTTCAAACCGAAACCTTTATTTAGTCCACAGGGGGTAGATTGTTCTAGTTCCACGTGCCATTTCTCTTCCGGGTGTCTCAGATAGTTCCCTTTAACTCAACTCTTCAAGATTTTTGGTTCACCACTGCTGTAGCCTGATATTGAACTCAAAACTCTTTGGGTCTAGTCACTGGATCTAACCAACGTCTTTATCTACTGGGCCATGTGTCCTTGAGGACCAGTGAATAAAGACGTTGGTTAGATTCAGTGACAAGAGGAAACGTTGTGAATATGTCAATGAAGATGAGAAAAACAGTCCGAATAATGTAAATAATATAAATAATCATAATACGTAATCTCAGAGATATAAAAAGATATCAAAAATATTATTTATTATTAGGAAGCTTCGATACTTCAGAAATAATAAAATGATAATATTGTTTTTATATATATCAGGGTAAAAAAATAAACGTATCGAACTGATA